ATCTAGAAAATTCTTTTAGGGGAGCTCTGAATACGAATCAGAATTCTAATAGCTGACATGAACTGCAAATATATGTTGGTAAAGTTGAAAGAATTTTCTACTAGTATTAGAAAAATGTAACAAAAAGAAAAATCAACAAAACCAATACATGCTAAATATTTTGCGTTCCAAATATAAACTGAAAGCATTTTACCATTTACCGCCACTCAAATCATGTAATTCATTCCTTATAATATGTACATTAGACCACGTCAAAAAAAAAAAAAAAAATTAAAATGCTGCAATGCGACCGGAATGAGACTAAAATTTTTGCATTTGGTAAATATAGTAATGATCCTCCATGAATCTCAATTTTTTAGAATCAATGGAAACGCTCGAAAGTGTAAGAATACATTGATTACATCCATTTTAACCCCTTGTCCTTGTCTTTCACTTTGTTTGCACAAACCAATACATATGCCTTAAGAAAATTGTCACTTACTCTAAAGAAGGAATTTAATGAGCTCAAGTGCTTGAACACCTGGATCGAAAAGAAATTAAGTGAAACATACACACGTACATATAAACATGTGTAAGCATGTACATACATGAACACTAACCTTATGCATAGTGGATTAAGTTGAAAGCAAGAGCTTATGAGAAGACAATTTTAGAATAATCATAATGCCACATGCAAGTGAAAAAAGTTTTTTCCATATGGAATGAAAATAATTTTTATCGTCGAAAACACTTTAGTCACGGGGTTAAGTTGGTAAAACTGAGCAGAAACAGATATGCATGTATGCACCACGTTAATGGAATGGTATGCAAATAAGGCAATGAATGTTATGTAAATTGGCTGAACGAATATGTGGTGACCGAAAGAAAATAAAATACCACAAAGAATAAAATCTAAAAAAGTTCGACTCAAAGATAATAAAAATCATAGCAAAATTTACATAAAACGTAATACAACGTAACGTTCTATAAAGAGTGGTAAATATTACTTGCACCCAGTTTTAATGTAGTTGCAACAGATCCTATATCGAAGGGTGAAAAGAGCAGAGGCCGCACGATTTTGCTTTGCTAGGGCAATATGTCACTTTTAAGGTAAATTGTAACTGTCATTCTAGTTAAGCACTGTTACTTAAGGCAAAAGTCACAAAAACAGTAGTTCTTCAATACATGCAGAGCTTAGATCCGTCAGAAAGACAAAGCGGCAGCGATGTAAACATACATAGGTACTATGTTCTTCCACTTCAGCAAAGCGGCCATGATTTTAAGCACGGACACTCCATAATTCTAAAAAGCTTTGACTTCATTACAATCTCAAATGTTCTTTACACAACGTTTCACGGTCCAACCTTTAATAATTCAGATTCTTTCAAGATAAGCGTGGATGATTTGCAATTTTTGGAATCGCGGCTAAGTGAAGTTATTCGCAAATATATTGGAGTTGAATAGGAAGGACTCAAAGGACAAAACTCAAATATAGACTTTTAAGTCAAAGCAGTGATTTCATAAAATCAATAGAAAGGCGGTCATTAAAAACCTTGGAAATTTGATAATAAGTTCCAAGATTGGAAAGGAATAATAATAATGTTAATGGAATAATAATAATAAGAATAATGTTGCAAGAATCTGTTGTTCCGATGAAATTTGCAAGACAGGCCACCATGTTAAGTGAGTATGAGGACTCCATTGGTCCGCTAATGGAAAGACGGGGGCGTAGTTAGCTCAGCGAGCCCTGGACGAAAACCTTGGCATGTAAGATGGCTAAGTTTTACTGACCACAAGCTGCTTGGATGTGGAGCTTTTAAAGCATTTCTCGACACTGGTGGAAGTCTTAGCTGACCATTGCTCGAATAAATTCCATGCGATAAAGCTTGCTCAACATCATTGCAAGCTCTTAATGTAGCAGCTGTTTGGAAGATGATAATCAGCACTTTCTCCTTGGCTCTCCCGCTCTAGCGAGCTTTCGGTTTAAACAATTCGAGTTTCACTCCCGATGAAGACTCAGGAATAGAAATATTAAAAAAAAAAGATATATATTTTGAAATGCCTCAAAGCCTATGAATTATACCATATATTTTATATGGGGAAAACACATTTATGTAGAAATGGTACAGAATTCTTAAAAATCAATATATTTTGAACGGAAAACTATGTTAAATAAACAATTGGGAATTGTTATTGGATGTCTCTTAAAGAGAAACAAAGTTTTCCGATATTGATTTTTAAGAATTCTATACCATTTCTATGAAAAAGTGTTTTTTTCCCATATAATATGCTTGAAAAACTTTATGATCTTTGAGGCAGTCCTAAATAATTTTTTAACAAAAAAGGGTATTCCTTTTCCCATATAGAAAAATTCTAGTGGGAGAGAGCTTAACATTTCAAATTTTTTCGCCCGCATGCATTTTGGGCCCACCCTAATATACTTACACTATGCGAAAAATGAAAGGGTACAACTTGTTCCAATATAATATTAACAATTATTTTCATGAAAAATTTGTAGAGCCGAATTCTGAAATAGGCGGGTTTCAATCAAATTCTGAGATAGGGATTTTTTGAACCGGCTGCCGAGATGGGTCGATTTTGCACTCAGCCATCGACATGAAATATAATTACATAATATAATAATAATAATAGATTGGCGCTTACACATATGTTAGTGTTCGGCCGAGCCTCTTCTTATGAAATATAATTACATAAATATGTACATATTTAAATATCCAATTTATTCCCTTCCGTTTTATCAAGTTTTATTGAAATTGGCTATATTACATATATTTATATTATTTTTTATTATATTTGTTCACTTATTAGGAGGCCAGTTTGATCACTTCATCTACATACATCGTTTTGTGCCTTCATTAGCATTTCTTCAGTTAAGCTAATCTTATTTCATCAAATTTTGGGTCGGTCTTTTAATTAAATTTCATAGCTGCTTTTGACTATTTTTTTGATCATTTGTATTAGTTTATTTGTTTAACCATTGTTTCACATCACACTGAATTATGTCCAAAACCCATAAATTTCACTAATTTATTATAATGTCAACAACAATGACAGACGGTGGCAAGCAAAGGCGGACAATTGAGTGGCGGTCAAGAAATTAATATTAAGTGAACGAATATGACATGCCATCATCTCTCACAGACAGCGACAGCATCCAGACGTACACAGCCCTAGTGCCATGAAAAAAAAAAATGTTTATAAAAAAAAAAAACTAACCATCTAAGTATGCGTGAATAGCTTATGATACTACGCTTGTTTTCTGCTGTTGTTGCTCATTTAATGTGTGGTATGCCACCAGCTCAATTAAGCCACCGTGAATATTAATAAATACGATAAATAAATTTATTACTTATACATACACTACATCATGTTAACACCACGTCAGCTACATATGTAGGTTCATAGATATGATTGTAGTCAAGTGAAGATTTTTAGAAAGGAAATGCACACTAATACTAATACAGATATACTAATTAAATACACACCTCAAACATATTTACATAAATAAGCGCATATGTGAATTTATACATGTACATAAGTATATGTGTATGTCAGCTGAGTTGTCAATGGCTACAAATGTATCTGCAACTTAAAATTTGTATATCATTAATATTCTTATTGGAGCTGTCTCAATGATAGCGCCAACTGCTGACACAGGCCACGAGGGAGCATCCAGTGGCTTTAATGCAATTTGTATCGCACTAAAGCGAGATTATTTAAAATTTTGTAAACATTATCGTTTGGAAGTAGGAGTTAAAATTGAAAAAAAAAAAACTGAATAAAATATGTGTGGGTTGAACGCGCGCCATTGGCGGTCGGTTGCTGGTGGCTGATGGCTGGCGCCAAGCGCATCCAACGCTATTAGCTGCCATGCCAAAGCTGGCGTACGCTAGCATTCATCGGTAGCCCCACAATACGCATAAAATGCACCATATGATAGACCCCTTTGCCATAATTTGTCTATTTTCTTGTTTTTTTTTTGTTTGGTGCACAAATGGTAAAGTCTACTACGAGCAGCTACACAATTTTTTGCCGGCTATAAATTTTTGAAAATTAATTTCCGTTTCATTTCATTTTGAATTGCTCAGATATAGTAAATAAATTAGTCAAACAGCAAATAAAATTAATAGTTTGTCCAAACAAAGTTCAAATTAGCAATTAATAAACGATATACATCGATGTCATAAATTAAAATCAAATCAACGAGACCAAAACGAAACGAAGCTTTCAAATTAAAAGTCAAAATAAAATCTTTTGGTAATTTTATGGATTTGGTTACGGTTTAAAATGTGTACATTTGTGGATAAATATGTATGTATGTAGACACATATGTACATATGTGATAGCCATGTTTCTTCAACCTGCAACGCTGATCATTAAGGCATTTGTACGTGTACGTGTAATTTTTTTGATGAGTTCGCCACACGCCGGATGCGCGCAGAAAATAAATAATAAACGATATAGCGGAAAAGTTGCTTTTTACACAAATATATACGGTATGTACATACATATGTTTATGCAAATTAATGAACTTGATTTTACAAAAAATTTACGCGAACGCGAATGCAAAATTTGGCAAAACAAACAGTGCAGTAAATATGAGCATCTGGAGCAACATGTTGCATCCACTTGCAAAAAAAAAAATAAAAATTATAGACTAGTAATTTTCAAAACATATTTTCTTTTTCAATTTTGAAAGCGTAACAATTTTCACTGCAACACACTTTCATTGGTGTTTGGACTTTTTTTTTTAATTTTTGCCGATTTTCCACTAGGCATTAAATGACAAATGACAAATTCTAATGACAAAGTTGGGCACTAGAGAATATCTGTGCCACAATTTTTAAATGGCACAAATTTTTCGTAATTTCAATGCCTAGTAAAATTTCGACATTATCCTATATTATTTGCACCGTTTCTATTTGTTTACTGAGCTTTTAATACATACTTTAATTTTATACAGGTTCATAGAAAAATCAATTTGCTCTTTTATTACTCACCACTGTGATGCACCGACGGTGAATTGAAACTACTTTTGTCACTGGCGGGCGGTGTTGTATAATCCGGTGCTAATCTGTGACTGTTGTTGTTGTTGTTGTTGCTATTGTTATTATTACTACCGCTATTACCTAAATAACTGCCCACTTGATGATCTGATCCACAAACTGACGCTGTAGTGGCCGCCTCATAGGCATTCTGTTGCGCATTCACAACATCCTCTACACCGCTTTTCTCACAATCTGAGTAAATATTAAATTAAAAACAAATATAATTGAAATAAATAAAGATAAATAATTAAGAAAATAAACAAAATTAAGGAATAATAAACCTGGTGAAAATGATAAAAAATTAAATTGTTTAAGAGAAAAAACCTTACCGGCAATTCTGGCAACTCACCATAGTCTTTCGCAAGATAATTGTAAATACTGGCAGCTATCTTGAAAGCCGTTTTCTGTTTTTCAAAAGACTAAATGAAAGATCTGCTTACAAGGAGGTCTTAACGTACACGGAGAGAAGTTTTTTACTTAGAGTTGGATAAATGTTTTCTTGATCGCGAAATAGTAACTAATTTATGAAATATTAAAATTTGGTTTAGTTTTTACAGAATTTTAGAAGACCACTTTAGTAAAAAACGGCTTTCTTGTTTACAGACAACCACAAAGTCTATTGAAGAAATTTTAAAATAAACAAGAAAATAATTTCTTAAATGAAGTCAGAAGTTTCTTATTCTACCCTTGCAGAAAAAAAACTATCAGTTGATAAAAAATAACCCGCTATTAAGCGGGATTTCTGTTAAAAAAAAAAACTTGTAGTTGGCTACAAGGAGCTAACTTGAAACTAGTTGAAAAGTAATGCCGGAGTAATTCAGACGTATGCGGGAGATTGTTTGCTTTAAACAAGTTTCTATTTAAATATCCTCATACAAATTTTTCTTTGAATACATTTTTTTCCGCATTTCACAACTACTTTTTAGAATTCAGGACAAATAAAAGGAAGATTTAAATTTTATCATTTTGAGGTTACGGCTGAGGTGTTCGAATATGGGACCACCTACCGCAAAATATGTAAATAAATATGTAATGTTAAACAGAGTAAATATATATAAAAGTAAAAAAAAAGAAAATAAAAAATATAATGTTTTTCTTATTGATATTTTATGTCCAAAAGTAGTTAATTAAAGCTGACATTTAATATGAAATTAATTTATTTTCTTTTTAAAATACAATTTAAAATTTACAATAAAAAAATAATAAAATACAATGAAAAAAAATACCCAATGACACTCCAGCGCTTTGCTTTGTCAGGCATTGCGACTGTTGGAGCGCCGCGAGCAAAATGGCATACCAATTCCTTTAGGTGGGTGAACTAAAATTTCTCAATTTACTTAATGGTTTCTTTATTTCTTTTAGCGCATATCAAGACTAAATCAAGAAAATAGTTTCTTGTTTTTTTTTTTTTAATTATATTTCCTTAGATTTTCTTGGAAATAGGAATATGTCGAGCCCTAACCGCAAATATAACGTAAGCGACAATTTATTTACTTTTATTATTGTTATTTATTTGACGCAGAAATATTCCCAGAGCATCTAGATGCATTTTTGCATCAAAAAGAAAATTGAAAAAAGTGTCCTTAAGTTAATTGGGCAGGTAGGCCTGGATGTTTTCTAAGTTGAACAACAAGTCTCGATATTCTAGTTTCTGGTTTGGTTTAAAAAAATTCTCTCCGTGTAATTTGTTTGTCATTTAGCAAAAAGCTTTTACGGAAGTGTTACGTTGAACAAAAGCGCTGCAGGGGATTTACAGCGTTTGGCAATGAAAACAGCTCCTTGGTAAAAGGAAGGGTCTGTCATCTAAAGAAATCCTGAGTCTCAATCAATATATAGCGCGAAAGATCTGCGTATCAAACTTCAATAACGGCTTTTAGGCTGAAAATAGACGGGCGCTGGTTTGATACAGTGTGAACTGGGGCGATAATTGCGAGAGGCAGAGATCTAGACGATAATGCCTTTTAATCCCACAGGATATTTAGCAGGCCACCCACCATTAACTTGGCTGAAGGGGTTTACAAATTTATTCAGCTTATCTTTTTACTTCGACGCTTGGCAGTTTTACAAGCTAGGGATATTGACTGGCTCTCGTTAGTAGAAGAATTAGCACTATGCTCTACAAGTTTTACAAGGCTTAATGCGAACTTTCTCGATAAGCTGGAGCTAGCAAACTTTTTCATGAAATTTCCAACATTTTCTATTGACCCAAGCATATCTATGTTTGTGTATTCATAAAACTAAATTCAGTGAGTGCGTAACTTTTTATACATAGTGCGAGGCATTGGCTGGTAAGCAAATTTACGTTTGATTGTGATTATTGCCTGCTTCCTTTCAACCGTTAACCTTATCAGCTCACCAGTTTACTTTCTAACAAGCTACTACCAATAGTGTATTGGTACACATACATACAAAAGTATATATGCAAAAAACCCTCAGCTGCCGAGTAATGACCAATAAAAGGTGAGGCACGCGACCAAACGCCACTGATTTAACGCCGATGAAGGAGTAGCAGGAGTCTTTAAATTGAGGCACAAGGCAAGTTAACCCATTCACAATCGAATTTGCTCCAATAATGTAACGTAATGCTGCGTGGAGGTGGAAAATCAATGAAAAATCAGCGACCACTCAGGAAAAGGTTGCTGACGCTCGCTCTTAGTACACAGTTGCCGAGTTTGCTACACCCGCCGGCGGCTGGGCGGACAATCGTCTACATATGTATGTATGTACGTGTGCAGTTGATTTTGTTACCTCGAAGACATCCGCTTTGAGTGTAATATTTTGTTGTTTTGTGAATGTATGAGTGGACGTATTTTTCGCGTGTGTCCGCAGCGGTTTGTGTTTTTTTCGTCGACACTAATATTTTCCGCATTAAATAGCAGTTGGTTTGCAGGTTGTTTGGTCGGTTAGAAAATTGCCAAAGTGAGTTAGGACAAACGAAGTGGCCAGAGAACATGCAGATGCATTTAGTGTACTTCGTATGAACATACAGTCGGCGTCAAAAATATGAATACCCTGAAGTTTTGACGATTTAATTTTTTTTATATTTGTTATAACAAATTTTTAAATTTTTTAATAAAAATATAGTTCCTTCAATGGCAAAAACTAGCAGAATCTATTTTTTCAATTTCATATAGAACTCGGGGAAAATTCAAGAAATACCAACAAAGTTTAAACTTTTCAATTACCGTCAATTTTTGGGAATTTTTCTTCTTTCATATAAAAATAGATTTTTTTCATGCGTTATATGGAAGAAAATGCCCAAAACCCTCGACCAAAACAGAAAATTTCAAAAATCAACCGTGATTTTTAGAGACTTGAAACTTTCACCTTATTACACTACTCAAAATTTAAGAAATCGAATTGAAAAGTTGAAAATTTTGATGAAAATGTTTTGGTATTTCTTGAATTTTCCCCGAGTTCTATATAGAATTAAAAATTGATTCTGCTGGTTTTTGCTGTTGAATGAACTATATTTCTATAAAAGAAAAGAAAAATTTGTTAGTGAAAATACAAATAAATAAAAACGTTAAAACGTTGGGGTGTTCATATTTTTGACGCTGACTGTATGAATGCACGCGAACGTATTTGTATGTGTGTATTGACGTAACAGGTTAGCGCTGGTAAAACGGCAGCTGCAAATTCTCTGCCGATTCACCCCCAACTACTACCAGTCAAACACTTTGCCACCCATTCGTTGGCCTTTAGTCGTATTAGCGGAAGTTTAAATTAAATTTTCTTCTATATTTCCCCAGCGTTGAGCAGCATTCGTGCAAGTGTTGTTGTAGAAAAATGCATATGTAATTCAATTTGTTTTATGTAAACAAAAATAAAAAAACGAAGTTAAATGTGAAAGTTACTTTAAATTCATTTTCTATGTATGGCATATGGACAGTATTGTTGGAGCAAAAAAATCAATTGGTTAATTAAATTTTCATACCATGTCCTTTATACGCAGGTACGTAGGTATGCACTTCTGAAGAAAGCAATCTTTAATAGGCCATACAAAATTTATTAGAAATATTTGCTGGCGCCAACTGCACATTAATATTCCAGTCCCTTCATCAGCGTAGATGGCATTTGAACAGGGTTTGATTGACCTTAGCTTAAGAAAATCATGTTTTCTTACTAATTTGATTTACCTACAATCTTCTGGTTTCCTTCTTACTTTTAATTTATTTTTTTTATTTCATTTGTCTTATTTGTATTTTAACACTCCAAACTCGTTGCCACTTACCTTTCTGTAGTATATCTAAATGTTCCCACAAAATATCGCCAGTAAATGGCGGCGTTATCGCTAGAAACTTGTCCTTGCCCAATTCAATCATATCACGTCCTTTCATTTTTATAAACGGCTCCAAATTCATTGAGACCAGCGAGAACTCTTTGATTGCCCAGTTTAGCCAATAGATGACATGTTCCTCCGTCCATTCGCGGGGATCTTAAAAAGAAATTAAAAATTAATGCATGTTTGTATGTATGTAGGCACACTTAAGAAATATGGTGGGCATTTTTTCTCACAAAGATATCAAAATTAAAAAAATGTTATTGGTATGCATTCGATATGCTCACTTAACAGTGTTGAGGTTGTATTTTTTTTTTTTTTTTCACTTGCCATTTCCCTTAATTAATATTATTGACGAAAGCAATCAAATGCGTGTAAATTTGTTT